GAGCAAGGCTTTAGGCATGTTTTTTATGAGAGTATAACATTATAACATGATATAAAACTAAAAAAAAGTTGGTTTAACATGACATTGCCCCTTTAAGGTCTTGAAATTGTACAGTTCCAAGTCCTCTGTGATCCATGTAGGTGGCTCAGAGTCATAGACTTTATTATAGTCGATCCAAGCAAACAGGTCTGTGTGTCTGGTCTTACAGATTCTGCCTTTTTCCTTCTGGGCCCTGCTGAGGTATCAACACATGTGGCTAATCATCTTAGCCAATATGATGCCTGACAGGAGGAGGCAGGTGATTGGCTGGCAGCTGGATGGTGTTGCCCTTTTCTTTGATCCCATGATCAAGACTGTCCAGTCTTAATTCAATCACRTTGGGTGGGGCCTTTTTATTAGCAGCTGGTTGATTTGTGCTACTAAAACTTCATGGGGAGCGGTCAGTTTCCTCATCTGTGCAGGCCTGCTGCAGTCTGATTCTTCCTGAAACCCTGTCCTGGATATCRGTCACTGTGATGGATTCTGGCTCTTTTTCTGGATAATTGCATGGTCAGCTCTTAAATTCGGTATGCACATCTAATTCCATAGGTTTCTCCAGTATTATTCCTTCTAACTCATTTTTGTGATAATGTCAGTGTAGTAACTAGTACGTCATTTCCAACTTCCTGTTTTAAAAAGCTGCTTAAAAAAGCCATCTGTAGGATTTATCTGCAGTAAAAATAAAGCAGTGCTGTGACCAAAACTACCTTCAGTCAGGTCAGGATTTACCAGTTTAAATCCGGTGAGTTGCAGTTTGTGGCTTCGCYGCAGTTGGTAAGGGATTTAAATGTTCTTAATTAACTAAGTGTTGACTGCTGAATCCTCCATCTGCTTTAACCTTGAATCTTTTCATGAGGCAAGAAACACCTAACTRTTAGGATGGTGGAAGAACAGGCTGGAGGTGAAATCATGTTTGAACAATCAGTGCAAAATGAACCCTTATTCCAGTTTGATTCCTTAAAAAACACTCATCTGAATAAAAAGGGGCTCATGTCAGGATGAAAACTGAAGCTTGAGGTGATGAGGATGGCCTCTAGACCTGTGTGAAAGCACAGATTGAATTAAGAAACAAATAACTCATCAAATGCTTCTTTTTTTGAGTTAAAACAATACTTAACTGCTTTATGAAATGCATTAACAGTATTTCCTGTCATAAACAACAGAAGACCTCCCCAATGGCACCAATAATGACAGATTTATGGATGAAATACAATTTTGGAAATTTTGATMCCAAATTTTGATTTCCAGAAATATAAAACTACAATGTGTATGTTTTTTTTTTTTTTACAATTCCTTTTCAGCTCCTAATAATAACACAAGAAAAGTTAAATTTGAATTCCAAATGCAGACACGGCTAATTTTGTCAACAGAAGCTCATTTGTTCAGTCTGAGTTTAGAAGCTGCGAGCAGCCAAATTTAACCTCAGTAAAAAAAAAAAAACACCTGGGCCAAGGACAGGGATTAGTTCTTCCA